GTGTGCGTGTGTGTGTGTGTGTGTGTGTGTGAGCAAGAGAGAGAGAGAGAGAGAGAGAGAGGCAGGCGCTGACCTCCAACAAAAAAAAGTAGTTTTATCGGAATACCATATTTTTTCTTTTCGAAAACCGAATAGAAAGCGTACAGGTTGTATTCGAAAACAAGGTGTACGTTTTCTATTCGAGGAACTCTGCTATTCGAGAAAAGTGGACCCGCATCGTTTCAATTTCGAAAAAGGACTGCAGCCTCCTCGGCCTCCTACGCGTAGCTACCGGTCCTACGCGGTGTCAGCGCGAATACCCTGACAAGGGTATCCGCCCTAGTTTTTGCAAGTGACAGAAGGTAAAGGTTGTTCAGAATCTGAGTATACCGTGCGAAGTTGCGGTCGTGGTTTGTTCACGTTGACTGAATGGTTGACTGGGAGCGAAGTGTGTGTGGGCCCGTATTTTTCAGGCGCGCATGATGAATTTTTCTCTTTATGCTATAGGGTCGGTGTTTCTACCGGCAAAATTTTTTGGCTTTGATTAAGACTAGGAAAGGTTGTTCATTATGTTGGAGTGACCCTGGTGCACGTGCGCTCATACGGAAAACATCCCTAGGTGGTAGTGATGCCTTTGGGTGCTGGTTGGAGCATGCGAAACGAGGTAGAACGCGAGCGGTGGCCTCCGCGCGGCATTATGGGTGCTACGAGCGTGAAGCGGTCAGGAGGGTCTCGCGCTACCTCTGAGTGGCGCCGGACCGATGCGCTCGACAGTGGTCTTGGCCCTTGCAATGCCCCAAAACCTCAAAATGTCCATCCTCCCGACGACCACCGACGTTGAAATTTGATTGACGTTGAAATGTCTCAGGGGGGGAAACGCAACCCTGACGGGCTGCGAACATCGATCTTTCTTCCGAACGCTTGCACTGTCGATTTCAGGCTCGGCAAAATGTGTTGCATTTTTTTGTCCATCAATTTAGTTTAGCTTCGGATGGACTGGTGATGTAAGTGTGTCGTGTGGACCAAACGTAGGAGGGCGTGTATCAGGCCCGGGGACCCAGTAGAAGACAAAGGTTGGACCCAGTAAAACCCCAGTGGAAGACCAAGGTGCAGTCTGTTGAAGGTTATTGCAATTGGTTTTGTTAGATATGATAAGGAGCGAATTGGCTAAAAGGGGGCTCTATTTTTTTTTTTTTTTTCTTTGACAGAGAGAGAGAAAGAGAGAGAAAGAGAGAGAAGGCAAACGAGGAGGGGGGGGTCCAGGGGTTGGGTCCCACCTACAACGTTGAGTTTTCTATCACGTGCGGCATGGTGGGACGGAGCTCTGTCGTTGATGTATTGCGATCTAATAGTACCGAAATACAGGAGAATAACCTATTAGATTTTGTCTTTTTGTAGAATTTTTTTTTGATGTGAAATCCGTTTTGTGGTATGCTTTAGCCCTTTTGGTTTGGGCGGGAAACCATTTTCCATTGAGAAAACTACCTTACCGAGGGTAGGGTACATTTCTCAACAGCAGTGCCTTTCTTTTTTTTTGTTTTTTTATACATCATTACATCCTGAAATGGAGAAACTCTGACAGAACTCTGACAACTGTGTTTGGCTCTCTCGTTTTCTTCTTTGGACAATGAATTCATTTAGCCATCCATGTTGTCCCTGTCTATTTTACAAAAGATGACCTCCTGTCCCCTCACCACAGGGAGTATCCCTTTTTCACGGAGACATCCACTTCGATTGTTCCAGATATGTTTCATTTCCCTGAGTCACGTTATCAAAAATAAGAGGAAAAAAAAAATTTAGCATTTTTTTTAGTTTTTTTATTTATTGTTTCGAGTTTATTAATGTCGAAATGGCGTCACACCGTTAAGTTTTATAAACTCAACAACGGTAGGTGGGGCCAGACCCCAGAACGGAGATGCACATCGATTTTCGTTATTTTATACACAATGCTGAGAGAAAGATAAAGGAAGAGAGAGAAAGAACGAGTTCTGGGGGGGAGGGGGGAGGGGGAAGGAGGGCAACGTTTGTTGATGAACACAATCCACCTTGGTTTGTTCGTGCGCATTTCAGTATTTGTGTTGTGAAAATGCAACCTTCTGGTTTTTCAAGCTAGCATTGAAACGCAACTAAAATATTGACCCATCATAAGTTTGGGAAGAGCAGGGGAGATTAAAACCGCCTAATTTTGAAGATCTAGCAAGTGAGAAAACCTCTTCGAGCCTCTTCGAGGTACCAATTGGGGAAGGTTTATCAAACATAATTGTTTTGATAAAACAGGGTTTACGGGCGTAAGCCTCAACCCCAACCCATTGCTTCTTTTTTTTTTTGAAGGACCGGCCCTATAGTTTCATTGCTCCCTTGTTTTAAACCATCAATACTTTCGAAGGTTGTGGTCGCACGCACAACGTGACGGGTAGGGATTAACATGTCTGGGGCGCTACGATAAATTTCATTTGAGTGAAGACGTTGTGGCATGACTAGAACGCTTGTAGCCACAACTTTCGGAAGTAATAATGGTTAAAAAAAAAAAAAATCGTTTGAAAGACAACGTCAACCTTGAAAAGACATATAGAGAGAAGTTGTATAGTGATACTTTTGGTAGACCATATGGCCGGGTTTTTACCTTAATCATCAATATTTATTAACCTCTTTTATTTTATGTTAATTTCTAGCATGTATTGATATTTGTAGAATTGGCACGATATACATTTTTTTTGTTCTTTAAAATATGTAAAAGAACATTGTAAGATCTCAGATGTGCTAAAATATCTCTAAAAGATGAGGGTAAAATAAAATTTGCCCTTTACATTTTTAAAGTTTATAAAAATTATTTATGGATTTAAATCTTGACGTTATATATTTTCAAGGAATCGTTCACTTCACGTTATACCCCTGTCAAGGGTAAAACGTAAACTTACACAATCTTCTAACAGAAATAAAATACAAATAATTTAATCCAAAGGCCCATTGAAATTGGGAAGAGGTAGCGACGGATCAACTCAATAATAATATCTCAAGGTCATTGCCCTTTTGTAAAAAAAGAAAACTAGGAGAGTCAAGTCACATAAAACGTTTCTGCTTGTCGGTTATATGACACACAAACAGGACTTCATTCCCCACTCCCTGAAAAACTCTTAAAATTCAAAGGCACCCTTGAGACAAAAAAACTACCAGAACAAAAGGAGGTTATGGGATAGTCTTACATTGTTCCCCTACCTGCTTAGGCCAGCCGACGAGCGCCCTAAAATGTTAGATTGCGATCATGATGGTTCATTCATACGACCTACAATCATGATGGTTCAGTTATGCGGTTGGAGGAGTTCAATGGCAGAGCAGAAAAAAATGTACAAATATTACTAAATTTGAGACTATAATATGAACTTAGGATACAAACTAAGTGAGTAGGTATATTGTTAACTTACCAAACCGATTTACGCTATGGGCGCTAGGGTGCAACCTAGAGGCTGAAGGTTCGACGTGTAAATGAGAATACACTTAGGAACGCGGTATCATTCGGTTAGAGGTCAAACGAGCAAGTTAGTAGGGCAAAAAAATCGAATAGATAAAAGCGAAAAGTGTAACCCTTTGGGGCAAATTTACAATATAAGTTGATGACTATAGAGGTATATTATATTGTTGAGGTCAAACGAGCAAGTTAGTAGGGCAAAAAAATCGAATAGATAAAAGCGAAAAGAGTAACCCTTTGGGGCAAATTTACAATATAATATAAGTTGATGACTATAGAGGTATATCTGTCTCTTATACACATCTAGATGTGTATAAGAGACAGCTATAGAGGTATATTGTATTGTTGAGAGAAATTTTGTCGTTTAAAATTGGGATGTATTCATAAGCTTGTAAATTGCAACAATAATTTTTTTTTGTATGTGTTTCATTAATGAAAAAAAAAGTGTGACTAAAACTTGCAAGTAACATTTTACTATTTGTTTCGATTTTTCTTATCTATTTTCAATGTATTTCCTCCATTTTTATTTCAAATACATTTATTTTTTATATATGTACTGTTTTCATGTATTTTCCATATATGCATGTTTCCAATCATTTCTATAATAGAAGACAATTTTTAAGCATAGTGTCTTGGTTTTGACTAAAGTTACGAGAGAAGATGTAGTAAAACAGTTCCAATAGAGTTTTTTTT